AATCCTTCAGGCATCCTGATAAAAAGAACAAACAGAATCTTTGATTTGCCTACTATCCAAATCCATACCCTATCCACTCCCCCCAGCAACTGCCTAGCACCCCATTTTCAACCTTGGGCACACATAACCACCGATTTGTGGGTTCTGTTAGTCATATCTACTGGATACGCACTAGAGTTAATTTCCTTCCCCCCACCACGGACCATCCTAACCCGCCATCCAACACCCTCGATCTAGAGATTCAATCTCTCCTCTCGAAGGGAGCCATCTCAATCATCACACCAAGTGTTTCCGACCCAGGATTCTTTTCTTGTTATTTCCTTGTCCTGAAACAAGACCGTGATCTATAGCCCATTCTCGACCTCTGCGACTTCAATTATTTTATCATTCAAAAGCGTTTTCGCATGGTGACTCTAGAGCATATCCTTCCTCTTCTACAAAAGGGAGACTGGTTCTCGGTCATCGACCTGAGCAACGCATATTTTCATATCACCATCAGACAAGATCACTGCAAATTTATTAGCTTCTCCCTAGGTCACACTACCTATGAATTCAATGTCCTCCAATTCTGCCTCTCCACCGTGCCACGAGTATTTACGAAATGCATGGCCCGCATAGCAGTGCACCTTCGCACTCTAGGAATCTCAATGTTTCCGTACATCAACGACTGGTTGCTCATAGCTCAGCTCGTAGCTCACAAGCGCTGAGGAACATTGCTGTCACTCTTTCTTTACTACCAGATCTGGGCCTCAAGGTCAACATCAGCAAGTGAGTACTAACTCCCTCTCAAAAGGTTACTTACATAGGCGCTGTTCTAGACTCACGTCATGCAAGGGCTTTTCTCCCTCGAGAATGTGCAATCAAAATATTCATGTCAACCATTTCCAGCCGCATGTGCTCTTCATGGCTCATCAAGTACAGCGCTTCCTTGGCCTCATTGCCTCCACCACATCCGTTATCCAGCACGCCCGACTAAAAATGCGCTCAGTCATGGTACCTCTCCCTATTTGACCCTCTTCTCAACCCACCCACAATGCTTCTGCAAGTCACTCCCAAACTTGCCCCTCAGTTAATTGGTAGATCACCCCAGCCAACCTCTTTCTTGGCAGACCGTTTGCAGTTGATGACTCAAATTACAACCGATGCCAGCCCTGTCAGTTGGGGTGTACACTGCAACGACCTTCAAGTTCATGCAACTTGGTCCTCTTATGAGAAGGGTCTGCATATCATCAACCTCAAATTGCTTGCGATTTTCAAAGCATTCCACGCCTTTGAACCACTCATTGCGGGCACCGTGATAGTGACTAGAAACAGCACTTTAAAGGAGAGTAGATATTCAGAAGTGACCATGGACAATATGACAGCTCTCTCTCTTACATCAACAAACAGGGAGGTACACATACTGTACCCTTTCTGTATCTTGCTGTCCAATTTTGGGAGTGGTGCCTAATTCACCATATCTTCCCTATAGTGGTTCACATAAACATAACCATATAGTGGGCCACAGAACATAACCAGTCAGCAGACTCAGCAGACTGCATGAGTGGTCCCTCGATGAAACCATATTTTTCCAACTGTGCACCAAATGGGCTTGTCCAGACATAGACGTTTTCGCCACAGCAATCAATGCCAAATGCATCCAGTACTTCTCCAGAGCAGGCCTGGGCCGAGGTTCCCTTAGCGATGCTCTCATGGCAAATTGGAATACACATTTCCTTTACCTCTTTCCAGCGATCCCACTTCTCCTGTGGACCACTGACAAATTGCGACAGGACCGTTCCAATGCCATTCTGATAGTCCTTTGGTGGCCAAGACAGCCATGGTTCATGATGCTCAGGCCGATAGCCTCCCAATCCATCCGTCTTGCCGAGGTTCCCTTAGCGATGCTCTCATGTCAAATTGGAATACACATTTCCTTTACCTCTTTCCAGCGATCCCACTTCTCCTGTGGACCACTGACAAATTGCGACAGGACCGTTCCAATGCCATTCTGATAGTCCTTTGGTGGCCAAGACAGCCATGGTTCATGATGCTCAGGCCGATAGCCTCCCAATCCATCCGTCTACCCCTGCTTCCTCACCTACTCATTCAGCATCAGGGGCAAACTTATCATCCCAGCCTACAATCTCTCCATCTCACGGCTTGGAGGAGCCACCCTCACTGAACATCAGCCTCGTTCATGCGAGAAAACCTGCCACAAATCGACTTTGCGCTTATAAATCGTCTGCCTTCCAGAACTTTGCTCGCCAAAATAATCTCCCTACATCTCCAACTACCCTCCCTGTGGTTTTGGCCTTTCTTTCTTATCTCTTCAACTGTCATCTCTCATTGTCTATGATTAAAGTTTATGTGTCCGCTATTTTAGCCTACCAACCAACCAAAAGATTCGAATGCTGCCTTATTCTTCAGACATCCTACTCTGAAGCAGATCCTTCGAGGTGTCACTAACCTGCATCCATCCTGAACTTCCGTTCCACCACAGTGATCCCTGCACACTGTTCTCCATCGCCTTTCATTACCACCCTTTGAGCCTCTTGCCACTTCTTCTGAACATCTACTCCCCTTTAAAGTGCTGTTTCTAGTTGTTATTACATCGGCCCATAGGGCATCCAAACTTGCAGCCCTACGAGTAGACCCTCCGTTCCTGCAGTTTCATCCAGATAAAGTCATGATGTATCCAGACATCTCCTTCCTCCCTAAGGTCGTTTCCAAATTTCATGTCCGTCAGCCTATTGTCCTCCCTACCTTCTTCCCATCACCAACAACGGACCTTGAGCGATCCCTCCACCTTCTGGATGTGAGAAGGGCTCTTGCTTTGTACGTCAAAAGAACTGCCTCCTTTCAGAAGTCTAAGAGGCTGTTTGTTTCTATGCATTTGCCACATAGAGGAACACATATATCAACTCAAACCATTTCACGATGGATTGTTCAAACTGTACGCCTCAAATATCAGCTTGCTCAAAAGCCTCTGCCTACACAGATTAAGGCTCATTCCACCAGAGCAATAGCCACTTCCACAGCTTTTCTGCAAGGTGTACCTATTCCAGATATTTGCAGGGCTGCTATTTGGTCCACTCTGTTGACATTTGCATCCCATTATCAACTGGATGTAAGGGCTAAGTCGGACGTGGCTTTTGGTCGTGCGGTCTTGTCCTCAGTTTTGCTATGATGTCCCTCCACCTGTAAGGTAAGCTTGTTAATCACCCATTAGTGTGCATTCACAGAGACCATGAAGAAGAAAGAGATGTTGCTTACCTGTAATTCTGTTTCTTCGAGTGGTCATCTGTGTAATTCACACTTACCGCCTGTCCTTCCCTCTGTCCGTCACATCTGTTTTATTTATTCATCTGTGTAATTCACTGTGTAATTCACATCTTTCCCTCTGTCCGTCACATCTGTTTTATTTTATTCAGCAGCGGGCAGTTTGGGAACTGAGGCAGTTGTAAGGATGGGCTGACCACGTGAACTGGGGGGTGGTCCTAGAGAATGCATGTTTAAGCTGTAGAATATTCCAGAGACCTCTGCACAGGCGCAGATTAAACCCATGAGTGTGAATTCACAGATGACCACTCGAAGAACCAGAGTTACAGGTAAGTAACCTCTCTTTTTTTTTGTATGTGTTTTGGGCTGTTTCATTAGAGCATGTGTCGTGGAAGAGCTCACTCGAAGAACCAGAGTTAAAGGTAAGTAACCTCTCTTTTTTGTATGTGTTTTGTGCTCTTTCATTAGAGCATGTGTCGTGGAAGAGCTTTGCTTCCTGGATGGTAACACTGAAGTTAGAAAAGGAGCTTGCTTGGAGAATACAGCGTTTCTCCAGTGGTTTATGTGCGTATTTCTGATGTTGTGTTTGTCTCCATCAGTTTTTTTGTATAGCTACAGGATCATCTGTCTTGTGTTGAATTTGGTAGATCATGGCTGGCAAATGATGGCACCAATAACATTGGAAAATGAACAAATGTATAAACCCCCAATGTTGTGGATGATATTAGTAAGTCCTAGAAGTATTTACAGATAGACATGTGGGCAGAATTGACATCTGGATCTACCATAGAACTTAATTTCTTTGTGTCCTATTGCTTAGCACAAGCCAAATTGCAACTTTGTTCTGTTCCTTCGTTGTGAACAAAGCATCCCTGTCACCACACCAAGCTAGTGTGTGCATGTGTACCCAAGAATCATAGCAGGGGCACATAGCTAGAACTACCTGCTTCCTGCTTATTTTGAGTCACCAACTGCAATTGTACCTAAAGAAGAAACTCATTACATCCAGAGTAAACTACTGCAGTGCTGTTTATGTGAAGCAAACTTTAAAAACAATTCGGTTGGCTAAAAGTGCAACCACTAGAATGCTGGTAGGAGGACCAAGCAGCCTGAACATATTACTTACATTAATGACTTATTATCCATTTCTTTCCATACTCCCTTTAGCATTTTGGTGCATATGCTGAGTTCAAAAGATCATGTTTAGAAGTCACTTCATTGATTGGCTTAAAAAACCTTGCTCTAGCTTATTACCAGCAATGACTCAGCTGTTCGTTCCGTTTTCAGATGCGTCACTGAAGTTTCTCCAGGGAACATCTGCCATAAATTATTCTTCCTGTTTTTCAATGGGCTGTCAAAACATTTTTTCTTCTAGGTTTTTCATGGCTGATTTTTATTGTTTTATGCTGTTCTCTTGAAATTTATGCTGACTTTTCTGTTTTTTAAAATTTTTTTGCTACTGGATAGTGATGTTTTACCTGATGTGTCAGCTACAAGTAAACAGAGTTGTTTTGAAAGGCATGGTATACAAATGCATGCAAGGATTTTTTTTAAAACATAAAATAACTCAAGATTACTTTTCTTTAGAGATGCAATTTGCATGAGAAGAAGAGATCTAAAATTACTTATTTGTTCAACAGAATGCCTGTGTCTTCATATGCACCTGCAGGATTGTCTTTTACTTACTTTTGTGTCTTTCCAGTTTTAATATTGTAGCTGAAACTGTTTTTCTCCAACAGACTCTCCCCTCTGTAGGAGTCCCACTTCCTGAGGTGCGTAAAGTAAAAGTGTTCACAGATGCAGATTTTTAAAAATGTTTGGGTGTTGTGACTTCCTGTTTGCAATAGGTAGAATTTTGGGGTTCGCCTAATACTTGAGATAGGACTGTCTGTACTCTGCATAGCACATCTGTAAAGCAGATGTGCATGATCCTTATTATACAGCATCTTGTTTTTAATAAGGATTGTTACCTGAGCAGCTAAATAATTAAGAATAGTCTAGGACTATAAGTTCTTAATGGGGAAAAGGAAAACCAGTCTGTATACATTTGGTAATTTGGAAAATAAACACATTCTGTTTCACCAAAGTTTGCAGTTTGGTCTTAGCATATGGTAAGAGTATGAGTACAGGTAATTCTCTACACATGCCTCCATACCTCTGCGGTGCCAAGAACATTAATAGTGACATTCTCAGTGTGTTGGATGATTCATAGCAGGTAAGGTGGAGATGTATATAATCCTGTAAAAAGAGGTTTCCATCCAGTCTTACTAGCCATTCTTTGTTTCTGCTGCAGCCACTGGTGTGCTGGAGAGCTCTGGGCAGGAAAAATCAGTGTAACATGAAATGGCAGGGCTCTGTTCTAGACATGGGAGCTTCATATATGTCTCCTGGGGGAGTCCTGGCAGTACTCTCCTGCCCTCCAGAACCAGCCCAGTCCACTTCCAGGCTCCTCGGTGCATGTGTGCCCGGTGGCGACGACGACATGCCAGTTGCGGACATAGTCCCTCTGGCACTTCCCCAGCTCTCCCCTTAGCCAATCGCTCAGCAGCTGAGTGGGGAGAGTTGTCTCCCTACCTCCTCTTTGGAGTGGTTGGCTGCTGGGAGACGCAGGGAAGTGCCAGCAGGACTCCATTCATGACTGGCGCGATGTCACTGCTGCCAGACTGTGTGCCCTGAGGAACCTGGTAACTGGACCGGGCTGATTCTGGGTGGGCAGGGAAGGATTCCTGGGACACCTGTGCTGGGACACCTGTGCTTTGTATTCATCTCCCTTGGGAGACTTGTCTTCTTGCCTTTCCCCTGGGCAATGAATGAAAAGCTCCCATGTCTGTAGTCAGCTCTCTTTCATGTATTTCTGAAGCTGTCCTGGCTCCTGATGCAAGAAGGAATCCTGGGCCTATTCCAGAAAATCAGCTCCAGTCAGAATTAGTGATTCTACCTGGATTCTGGTTTGAGTAGAATTCTTCCTTCTCAGTAGGCAGTATGTTATAGAAGAATCCTGTTCTTAGAATTTCACCACAATATTGAAAATAATTATACTAGTTTCTGAAACTCTATAAGCACCATCACACATGTTCTTGTTTGAAAAGAGTGAGAGTTTGGTATTCAGAAACTAAAGAGAGCCAGAAAAGAGATCTCTGGAGCTATTCTAGGAAATGTGGTCTGAATATTAGAATTCATTTGTATTTTAGGCTGTAACAAGACCACACATGCAGAGCTAATTTCCAGGGGAAGAAAAGGACCTTCCGTCTCAATAAAATTCACTAGCTATGGAAATCTGTAGCATCAGCTGAACATTATAACAACAAAATACTAACTGGTGCACACATTTGTATAAAAAATATTTGTGTTACTGGTCTATTAACAAATTACACATACACGAATAGACAACTATAATGCTGGCTTAATACCTGGAGGAGAACAGAGCAGAGAGAGGTATATCTGATACATATGCTACAAATGAATGTGTCTTAACATTCGAGATGGTCTGATCAAGGTTTAATATTCTAAAACGAGATGTAATTCCACATTACTAAGTCCACACCGATTGAAGCATAATACAGAATGATGGTTACATGTAGCATTCTAGAGCAGGTTATAGAAACAAAGGCACTGGCTAAAGCACAGTATACAAAATGTATAGCACTGTGGGTATCCAGTAGCACCATGTTTCCTAAATGGGCTTCCTCAGATGGCAGTCTTCATCTACCTTCATATTTGCTTTTTTTCCCCCAAGCTAAAGCCGATGCCTTTATAATATTTGGTTTTTAATTTCTGTCTAGCTTCATGGGAGATAATAGTGCTGGCCAATATATCCTAACAGAGAAATAGTGAGGGATGAGAGCAAGAATAATAGAAAAGTTCAGAAAAAACTGGCATTGGATTGATTAATTTCCTTACAAAATTATTCCCTACATAATAAAGGGGAAGCATGTGGTTTAGGATCAGTTTGCAGTGGTAACCAACAATCCAATGCACTGTTGGGAATAAGCAATTATTTTTGCATTTTCTGTTTGTGTTGATGGAAAGTTGATGGGAAAAGAACAACTTGATGTTGCATGCCATCAGAGTGTGCATTAGCCTTCAGTGTTTTATTGAGTAGCTTTCACTCAGCAAATCCTGCCTCTGTGAGACAAAATGATTACAGCTGCATCAATCATTTTGTATGCCTTAATAAAATAGTCATAACTGGAACATATATGTCACCCAGAAAATAAATATCTGCATTTTGCAGTGTCATTTATTTTCAATAAGTGTCAACTTCACATCTATTTTGAAATAAGAATACCACACAATGATCCTGTTATTTTATTTTGTTGTTTTTTAAAGAAACTGACAAATAGGTTTTAAACTGCTGAATTCGAAAATACTGAAGAATTTCAGTATTGCTAAATTCTTAATTTTGATTGCAAACAAATCACCTTTTAAATCCACATTGATCCACAGTATTCTAAGACTCCTTACTCTGTTTTGTTCTGTTCTGAAACCTTTAATGGCATTTACAAGTTACAACAGCACAAGCAACTCAGGCAAAATAGAAAAAGTAAAATTGCACAAATTTCATAAATTAGGACCGATTCTAAAACTCCTTACTCTGTTAATAGTAATTGTGCACTGTCAAGCCAATTCCAAATTATGTGCTTTACCATTCCCTTCTTCTGGGGGCATCTGTTAATAGTAATTGTGCATTGTCAAGCCAATTCCAAATTACGTGCTTTACCATTCCCTTCTTCTGGGGGCATCCTGGAACTGCGTAGCTTGCCCATGGCTACAGAGGCTGGATCTTCTCAGGAAGCACAGTGGGAACTGCGTAGCTTGCCTATGGCTACACAGGCTGGATCTTCTCAGGAAGCACAGTGGGGAACCAAACTCCACACCTTAGGCTCCACAGCTAGATACCTAAGCCACTGAGTTATCCAACCAGCTTCTTTACTCTGTTGGAATAATGAAAATAATAATGTAGGGCTGCTTGTTCAGAATCATAAATGAGCTGGGGAAAGAAGTGCTGAGTCAATAGAAATTACCTGAATCAGATACTGCCTAAAATTATAGATTTTTCCCCATTTCATGGATCTGAGGCTACTGCTGGCTGGTATTCTCAAGATTGTGGAGTAGGAGTGGGGTGAGGGCAAACTAGACCCAAAGCCTCTGTATAGCATATTAGTCTCTGGCAAAGGAAAGGGATTAATCATGCTCTTAGATTTTAAAAAATTGGGAACTCCCACCTGCCTTATCTGACAGTGGGAATGCAGCAATGACTGAGATCCTTGATAGTCTATTTGACAGCACTATAGATTGCTACACCCTTCTTTATAGTAATTAATATAATAGGGTTTGTGGAAGTTTAAAGCAGAGAGATTCCTGTTATTATTTAATTATGAAGAATAGCATTGTCATTTGATCTTCCCGCTTGTTGAGTTGATCTGAAAACTATGCTCGACAGCTGTGGGAAAGGTACCCTTGGTAAAGAATTACTTCTACAAATTTGATGACAAGTATGCTTATCTCCTAGTTCTGTCTCCAAAATTCTCCTAGCCTTTATAAAATTGGGAAACAGACTTCAAATATAAACCTTCAAAAATTGATGGGGAAAAAATCAGGTTTTTCTATCTGGTACTTAATTAACTACATATGGGCTGTCATCATGTCAATGTTACTGAAGACTGACTCAAACAAGTAAAGGGAGGAAAATGTTCACATACATCCATGGCAGCTCCATTGACTTTGGAGGATAGAGGAATGATGTTTTGGTTTTTTATTTTTCTAACGTTATGCACTTGAAGAACAACATTCTAAAGATGCATCATTCCTTATTGTGGCTCCAAGCTTAAAACACTCAGCAACTCTGTAGGGTTATTTTTTCCAATCATATGGCTCTTTAAAAATTATAGGACTTCCTATTCAGCAGAAAAGAGATGGGCTGTGTGGTTGTTTTTGACCTGAGTGTATATTTTTCTGCTATAAATTTGGCCTTTCCTGCTTCACTTAATTGAAATAATTTTAATGTTCTTAAAGGAACTGTTGCATTATTCTCAGTGTATTCATTCTAACACGTAAGGCTCCCATAATACCTTATACAATTAGGAAGTGGACCCACTCTTGTTGAGCTATGAGATGGCTGAAGGCTTATGCAAGTGCTTCCATGCTTCACCAGGCTCCCTATTGTGTGCCTGTTTTTGAACTGGTTGTGTGATTGGTTGCATAACCAGTTGCTGTAGCAGAAGAAAGCTTACATGATTTATCTGAATACAGTGGTGCCCTGCAAGATGATGTTAATTTGTTCCATTGAAATCGCTGTCTTGTGAAAACATTGTCTTGTGAAAAGCATCTCCCCATTGGAATGCATTGAAATCAGTTTAATGTGTTCCAGTGGGGAAAAATCATCGTAGTTCTGCGAAAATCACCCATAGGGAAGCCATTTTGTGAAGCGCCAATCAGCTGTTAAAATAGCTGTCTTGCGAAGCATCGGTCCTGAAAACACCTGTTTTGCGAAGTGCCGATCAGCTGTTAAAATCGTCATCTTGTGAAAAACATTCTGAAATCACGGATCCAAATATCGTCCAGTGAAAATCGCCCAAAGGAAACACTGTTTTGTGAAGTGCTATAGCGATCGCAAAAATTCATCGTCATGCGGATTCATCATTTTGCGAGGTCATCATCTAGCAGGGCACCACTGTAGGATGCTAGCCTAACAGTGGACAATGGTTAAGGGAAATTTTATCCTGAGCTTTTGCAAAATCCTCAAACTTAAGTCTTTTGACTACACATGGAAACAGACTCAGGTTCAAATTGACTAATGAGCAGAGCTGATACAGGACTAATCAAAATAATGTTCTTTCAAACAAAGGGCTAAATTTCCAGAGCAGTAAACTTCAAACATGATCTACTCTTTTGGTATAATATCTTGCTACACAATTTTGCAATATACTTTATTTTGTAATGGAAATATGAGACACTTTTTTTTAACCTGGGTACATTTGTGGTTCTGCTTGTGCAGTTGAGGTTGCAATCCTGAACAATAAGGTTCGGCCAAGAGTAGTCCTCTGAATACTGTTGGGTTCCAAAACACCAACTGGCATCCACAATGGACAAGGATAGTTGGAATTATAATCCATCAGCATTGTGAGATCCTCAATTTCCAGGCTCCTGAAAATCCTTACCCGGAAGCAAGCTCTACTAAAGAAATGGGATGTTACCACTGAATGAACATCCATAAAATTAGTCAGTAAATTTCATATATTTATAAAATTATGCCATTTTATATTCCCTAGAAAGTTTAGGGTTATAGGAAATAAGTCTTGCATATGTCAGTGTTAATCAAAACAACTTGGAGAAAATACATTTTTTCTGGTTTAGGATAGTCAGGAATTCTACATATGTACATATTTAAGACAAAATCTACAATAAAGGAACAGGTGATGTTGCAAATCATAGGCTGGTCCCTTTTCCTTTTTACCACACATACAAAACAGCTTGTCATGTTCTCCTGGAGTTTGCACATATTTGGTACCCGCTTGATCAAGTGGAAGCCCTGTTCCTTTGAACTGGAGAGTGCTTGGAGTTCTACACAAGCAAAGCTGCTAATGCACTGCATTTTGTCAGAAGAGTTCTTCCTTTGAGGAAGTAACTGATAGAACTTTGAAACCTGTACTAGTTTCTTTATAGTTATCTTCTCCAAATTATCTTCTCCAACTGTATTACTGTTTTTTTTGTGTGTTTTTTTTTTGGCGGTGGTGGTTGAATATATGAACTACCATCAATATGCCTGATGCTTTATAAAGTGTAAGCCAGGTTATAAAGACAATTGTAAATGCCAATGATTTTCTTTTCAAGCGATAAAGGGAAGCCTTTATAATTAACTTTCTTATTTGAGAGGCTTGGTCATGCAGTTTCAATAGTCTCACATTGTATTACCAACTTCATGCCATTGCATTAGTACTTATTGTGACAAAATAATTATCATCTATCTATTATCTAACCACTATTATGTCTAGATACATAAATAGATGTATGTGAAGTTGGGCTTCATTTAATGATTTGATTGCAATCACTGAACTCATTATATCACTGAAGCAGGATTTGAATGTTTCATGCCAGAGAGAGAGAGCCTTCCATTTTGATCATAGTAAGGATTTGAAAGTCATTAATCAGTTATTCCCCATCTTCCTTTTAGGAACGACAAGCGAGTATGAAAAAGGAAAGAGGTGGATCTCAACAAGCAGACAAACTCGGAGATCGGAACAAGATGCAAAGAGCAAATTCTACCACTATAGATGGACAAGGCCTTCAGGTGTGATTTTCTTCTTTTGTTTATAATCCTCTGTACAGCTACACTTTTCCCAGGTTGTAGAAGGAGTTCAAGTTTGGCCATGTTCAGTGATTCATTGCACCTGTATACAACAATTGTATGTTTCATATTGTGCAGCAGTAGGTAATCCACAATTGCACCTTTCAGATTTTGCATTTGCAAGTCACAACCTGGATTGTTTTTGAGAAGCCTTTGTCACCGCAAGTAAAACAAACAAACAAGCAAACCACTAACTGAATCATGTGTATATTTCCCATGCCTATGCCATAATCATAGCTCAGGATTTTAAACAATAGGATGTTTGATAATTGCAGTCTTAAACATTTGTGTTGGCATAGTTAGCTGTGAAATGGTACAGGAAAATATATCATTCCCTAGTGCTGTCTTAAGACAGAGGGAAATAGCCTTCAGATGACTCCATGTATCTTCTGTTATGTGTTGAAAAAGCAACAAAGTAATAACATTCAGTGGCTGAAATTCTTTTACACAATTACAAAAAAATGTAACTTTTGGAAGCAGATTTGCATAAGTTAAGAAATCTCTATAGACGTTATCTGTTGTACTCTGAGTCATGCAGCTTGATGTTCAACAGATAATGCCTATGGAAGTTCGTTAACTTATAGTGGTTTGCTTCCAAAAGTATCATCTTTTGCATAACTGCACCAGTTACGTTCAGCTGGTGGAATGTGTTTTTTTTTTTTAATAATAGGATATAAATGTTAACCAATGATACAAAATTGGCACTTCTTTTGCTAGGAAGACCATCTGCATATGGCTTTCGTGACTGCTTTTCAGAACTGGTGTCACATTTTGCTTATAATGTTTTAAGTTTATGCTGGTAGGTATATAGATGTTATAACCAATAGGCAGCAAAGCAAATCATATGCTGGCTGTCCTTTAAACCTGTATTAATGTAGAATCTAATCAATGATTTTATTTTATTTGTATGGTTTTTGAATGTTTAATAAAAACCTGGCCTCATCAAAAGCTGTAATATTTTAAAACATAAACGTGTGTCATAAGTTGCATAAGATACACCTCCAGCAATTTGCTATGTGTGAAAAGGGCCGTGCTTCACTTGGATGAATTATATGTGATGTACAAGTAAGTGACTTACTATATTATCTTCCTTTTCCAAATCTCTTAAAGTGTATTGAAAGTATACAGGTTGCAGTATACTGCTGGTACAGAACTATAATCTATAGCTGCATAATTGTTCATAATAATCTGGGGTTTCTGTAGTTATTATCTGGATTCTGTTGTACTCCCAGTGTATGGAAATGTCTATGGAAGCAACCAGAAAGATTATTGAAGCATAAGAGTAAAGCAGCATTACAAAGGTGCCCATGGTAACTGGGATTTCAACAGATAAAGTTCAACAGTATCAAGAAAGAATTGTTTGACAATAGTTAATTCCTACTGTAGCAGGATCATGACTTGTGAAATTTGACTGGTGCATTATGCACATTATAAGGTTATATCCTATGCATGCATCAGAGTGGGAAATACAAGACACACACCTCATAAACACTGAGTTTTAAATTCCGTTTGGAAATATATTGTGTTATCTACGTTATTTTAAAAATTTCTAAGTAAAGAGAATTTACCACCCCTCCCCTGCCCCCCAAGAAATAAAGAACATGGAAGATAGTTTAATTGAGCATTTTGACAGTTTAGGAATGTTGTTATTTTTAACAATAAGTGGCCAGAATCTTGTTGGTGATTTTTCTGTAGATTAGTTCAATCATGTAACTCAGAACAGAAAATTGCCACTAACTAACAAGCACTAGTCAAGGTAGAGGCTACAGATACACACCTAGTAATGTCCGTTATTAGTTACAAGAAATTTACTAGAGTGAGTTAAACAATGTTACTTTCATGAATTCACGAAGACTTTCACAGTCGGGATCTAATGGTTGTTGTGGGTTTTTCAGGCTCTTTGGCTGTATTCTTCAGAACACGGCCAAGGAGCCCTAAAAACCCACGACAGCCATTAACTTTCATGAGTTGAAGTTACCGGTGGGATTCTGGCTAATTCTGGCTGTAAAATAACACATTTTTTCATGTTCATTCATGAAGATTTTTCTGTTAACAATAAGTATTAAGTAAAAAACATTGTCATACAGGACTGTGCTGGCGATTCAGTGGCAGAGAAGACTGCTACTTAGGTACAACTATTATTAATCATAGTTAAGCACATTCATCTTATTTCTTTCTAGCTTAACCAGCATAATGATCAGGATTATTATTTCTAATTAGAGGAAGTAATATATCATGTATAACCTTAAGATGAGCCTCATTAATTAACCTGATTCCGTAGGGATTTCTGAGAGGTAGTCCATCTTTGTCACAATGAGAACTGTTGGTTTATACTTCATTCACAGGAACAAACAACCCTGGAGTTAGACTAAATAAGTGGAATTGATTAAATCTCTGGATGAGCATTAAAGATGTGATGGTTTTTGATACAGTCTGTAATGTTCTCTTGGCAGAAACATATGTGCCCCAGTTCATAGATCTTTTTCGCCTGATGATCTTCTGAAGAGCTGAAAAGAGTTCTGAGTTTTGTCCTCTTTCCATAGGAGCAAAATGGTGCTATATCTAGATGTAGAAGGCTTTAAACTATGTTTGTGATACTGTTAAACTTTTCCAACCAAATCTATGGATCTCCAGATTTCTGAAAGCATACTGCAGGGTCACCTGTCATTCAAACGCCACAAGTTTGAATAAACTGATTTGCCTGCAGCCAAAAATAGCAGATGGCTTGGACCCTAAAAGAGGCAGGAAAATGTTTGCAGAATAGCATATTCTTGTCTCCTGAGTTGCTTGCTGGTTTGGGGCAATTCCCCTGGTAGCCTCCTTTATCCCACCCCATGCTGTTCAGGACAGTTCCTTGTCAATGTATGGGCCACAAACAGGAGGGCCATAGACAGGAGACAAAAAAGAAAGAGAAACACACCTAGTAATTTCCTCCATGGTTCTCAGGATCCAAGTCAATTATTTTCTCAGCTCCTGAATTGGGTATGGAAAATATATATAAAGATGATGTTGAACTGCAGTGCACATCTTCTTTCAACACTGGGAATTCTGGGTAAGGCTGATGGGAATGTGGCCAATGGCATGTAGTAAATAGTATATACTACTCAACTTTAAGATGTTATCAAATTAAGCAAGTGCTACTCTGAAGCCAAGGTGACAGACTATCTGTTTCTAGATGCTGAGTGTTTTGGGAGGAGCCAGGATACTGCTCATTTCTTTCAAAAGCAAAGACCTTCCAGGATATGAAATGGGGATTTTTTGTATTTTTTAAAAAATATATAAAGAAAAATCAGAGTTGTGTCTTGAGTTTCTGGGGACAGTTTGAATTATCTCTGGGAGTTCTCATTTCAGAAGAAACGTGGTAAATTGCTTCACCCTTTTCCTAAGCACTGAGCATCAAGATAGCATGAGAAAAGTAGTATTATATAAAAACAGTAATGTCTCTTGTAGGCCGAGAATACAATGACAAACGTGTTGCTCTCTCAGTGCCTATAGAACTTTAGTTTTTCTTCCGTAGGTTTCTTGGTGCTGAAAATTCGTTCGTCAGCACCAGCTGTGATCTCTATGCCTTCTTGTATATTTCCTGCTTTGGTTAATGTTGCAAATGTTTGTTTCTAGCTATTTCTGTTCATTAATCAGAAAATGCAACCACAGTGCTATAACAAGGTACAAATATAAAAAAGAAATACAGATTCCACGTACATTTCAGCAAACTATTTAAGATTATTCATATGGAAGAAGTCACAGGTTTTTCTAATCTACATTTTGTTTGTACATATAATGAAAAGTGGAATGAAAAGGACAAAATTAATGAGTTCCTGTGGTGTTCTTTTAATTTAGATTACACCTCCTCCAGGTACTCATCCTCTTCTAGTTTTTGTCAATCCCAAAAGTGGTGGAAAACAAGGAGAAAGGTACGTATTTCTATTGCTCTTATAACCTAAGAGGTAGTTCAGCATTCCTGACATATATATTACATTTTTACTTTCCAGATACACCTAACACTAATTAGGTACCTCAGAGTATATTAATCATAATAAGAATAAACTGGAACTTCTTGAAATTATGTTAGAAATGATAATTTAAATTTGTGTAATAGTTTTGTTACTGAAAAGTCTCAGTTTGCATTGAAGGGGAACCATATTATCAAAGGTCGTGCTAAGCAGGAAAGTAAAAAGCGTTGTGCAATAGTTTTGTTACCGAAAAGTCTTAGTTTGCATTGAAGGTCGTGCTAAGCAGGAAAGTAAAAAGCCAGAGAATTCCTGTAATGGGACATTGGGCACAAAAAATGGTTACAGAAGCTTTGGAAATATTTATGTTTGGCTTCTTTGAAATCCAGAATTAGATCCTGTGGAGATGCAGAAGAAGCAAAAAGTCTGTGGCCAAAATTCTGTTGCTTATCATAGTAAATTGCACTAGAGTTAGCCTTCTGAAGGTGGTTTGGTGAGCCATCTCCATGAGTTCCATTAATTCAAAAAGTCCTACTCTAAGGTCTTACACCAAGATCCCGGTCTATAGAGCCTGTGTCCTGAGCACACTCTTGTACTGCAGTGAGTCCTGGACCCTTTGTGCATGGCAGAGGAAGCTGAACATGTTCCATATGCATTGTCTCCAACATATTTTTGGTATCACCTGGCAGGACAAAGTTCCAAATAGAGTAGTCCTAGATCAAGCTGGAATTTTTAGCATGTATACATTACTGAAACAGCAATGTCTATGTTGGCTTGGGCATGTTGTGAGAATGGCTGATGGTTGGATTCCTAAAGATCTCCCGTATGGAGAATTAGTGCAGGGAAATCGCCCCAGAGGGAGACCACAGGTCCGATACAAGGACATCTGTAAGCAGGATCTGAAGGCCTTAGGAATAGCCCTCAACAGTTGGGAAACCTTGACATCTGAGCATTCAGCCTGGAGGCAGGCAATGCATCACAGCTTCTCCCAATTTGAAGATACCCTTGTCCAGCAGGCCGAGGCAAAGAGGTAGTCCCGAAAGCAGCAAAATCAGGGAGCTGGATGGGGTACAGATTGTATTCGTCTTCAGTGTGGAAGGGATTGCCACTCTCGAATTGGCCTTCTCAGCCACACTAGACGCTGTTCCAAGTCCTCCATACAGAGCACGTTACCGTAGTCTCTCAAGACTGAAGGATGCCTAATCTAACTCTAATTGTGACTTGCTATACCAAAGGAATTCTCAACAAGAGTAGGTCTATTTGAATCAATGGCACTTAAGTAGGAGTTGACTTACCAAATCCTTATTAATTCATTTGACCTACTTTAGTGCAATTGACTGCATTAAGCCACAGGATTTTCTCTTCTGTGGTACCAATCAAACAAGCATTCCATATATTCTTGAAACTAAATGAACTGGAGAGCTTGCATCATCATGGAAGTTGCTTTATTGATACATTTGTCTTTACTGCTAAAGATTTTCACCAGAGGAATCTCAGTTGTTAATAAGCAGCTGAATATCTGACAAAGACTCAAGATTTGACTAGATTTACTAGTTTTCACATCAGTGTTTATCTCTTTTTACAGTAATATCGTTTCTTTAATGTAATTCAGAAGGTGTTTCAGTTTGCAACGTTTTCTTGTCTTTGTTATTAGTGCTAATTACCCATTTCACCAAAATAATCCTGCAGGCAGCACTGTATCATAGGGTACTACGGTTGGAGAGACCCTGGGCATGTTTAATGATTTGAGAGTTTTATCTCTCTTCAGGGCTTTGAATCTTTCTTTTGTTCACAGCTCTGAATTTTGATGCCCCTGGGGATCTCTCTTGATACGAGTATTCACTGCTCTTTGTGTTGCTCTGCTGTTTCATATTGTCTTACCACCACTTTTTTGCTAGCAATCTTCTCCTCTTTACTTTGACCTAGCTGGGAGTGGTCTCTGCAGGCACCACCTGTAGTAATCACCCTTGGCATACAGTCTGTTCTCTCTCCCTCACACTCCACCATCCTGTTCCCACTTTGCCCTTACATTGTGTGTCCATTGGTCCCACCTACACCAGTCATGGCCTTGTTTTTCTTAATATTCTGCTGATTGTTTTGCTTGCTTGCTTTGCATTAAGCTCTTAGTAGTCCAGTGACTTGGACTTTGACATAGTCTATTGAACTATGAGCTCCTCACATTATGGTCTATAGTCTCTCAAAAATGATAGCATGTAAAAAATCAAGATGGACTATTCTCTTTCGCTGTTTGATTAGTGCACCCACCCCTCGCTGGGATTTTCAAAGGAAAAACTTGACTCAGAAAATCAACCAGTTTCTCTGTCCAAGGGGGAGGGGAGAGAGAGAATGGCAGATAATACATTGTGTAATAGTTTTTAGAAAATATTAAACCTCAAGTATTTAAAAGTATTTAAAACCCCAAGTATTTGTGAGATACCCACTTTAATAATTGTAGCTGTTCTTCAACCATTTACAAGACAAAGTCATCCACCCAGCATTATTCGTCCCCTCCCCCTTTATTGTTTGGATCCCCTCCAGGCTAGGAATTGTCCATATGTTTGGTTTCTCAAGGCTTTGACTGGCATTAATAAACATTTAATAAATTATCATAGTGTTCCAATGTGGCAAATGTACAAGTGGGTGTAACTCAAGTAAGAGATGCTGCTATACATCTTCTTCTGTTTTCAGATACTGCACCATTCATGGAAAAACAAAAGCAAAACCCATACATTGCTTGATATAATTTAAGATAAATATATTTTGTAAAACTTCCTGCTTGCGTACATAGAAGATAAAGATAAAATATTGAGTAAACTGCTGAAATGATTTTAATGTCTAGCTCTTGCAAAGCAGCAGATGGAGGAGGTAGTAAGCACTGTGCCTTTGTTGTACTGGCGCAAGAGTAAGGATTCATGTGATGATATGCTCTGATAAACAACAACAGCAAAAATTAAAATTACTGCATCGAAAATGAGCTCCTCATGAAGAATTCCAGATAAGAACTCTTCCTCTAACTCTGTATATATACACAGAATCATGTGAGGAAGCATCCACTCATGTGTCTGGGATTGCCTTTATGGGAACAATGTGAGGCAAAAATTCGTTGAAAAGGTAGAATGTAGGAAGGCTTTATAACCAAATGAGAGAGATGTTGGGCCTCAAAATATGCCTGTCTTCATGTATCATTTGTCCTCCTCTTCATTTGTTATGTATAACCTACCCTTCCTATTGCACATAGAAACAATGGGAAGATTTGGATATATTTAGATATGTCCTGCTCTTTCTGAGAAAGAATTGCCCAGATCTAAGGAATTATATGCAATCACCACAACCCACCATGTCGCATGAGAAGTGGCTTTTGAAATGAAGGAGAATTGCAGAAGTAGTTTGTAATGAAGCTTGGAAGCATGTTCAAAGAAAAAAGTAAACCAGAAGTCTCACTGAGCTGAATCTTGGATATTATCATAAATTTATATCTGCAGTTGTCCATGCCAAGAGATTGTGTTGAGCTATTCAGTATAACCATAGGGGGTCATATTAATTGATCTTGTCTACTTTACTGAACATGCCTGTTCAACCTTCAGTTGTTCGCCTTAGTCAGTAGCATTGGTAAGTGAGGGATGCATTTAATAATATATTTGTTAAATAAAAAATGTTGATTTAAATTGGAATGATAAAAATGTGTAATTTATTGGAGAAAACAATTACTCCTCCTTCTCCCAACTGCAGAATTTATAGAAGATTCCAGTATCTTTTGAATCCTCGTCAGGTTTATGACCTTGCTGGAAATGGACCAATGCCAGGGTAAGCCTAAGATTAAATGTCATCATGCCTGAACATATGAAATAAAATACAGCATTTTTACATAAACTGATGGCCCATGTAAGTATGTAGGATTTGAGGTCCAATTGCAGAAATATTTGATGAAAAGCAATCTATGGGAGGAAGTACGAACAGTTCCTACTGTACAGTGGTCATTGCTTGAACTTAATGCCTTCTTCACTCCTTGTGAAGTCTCAAGTTTGCATTTTTAGAATATTCTTAGAGCCATCTCTCCTGGATCGCACAGTTTGTTAGGTGTAGCTGATACAGCAGCCACATGCATTCCTAAAATAATAAGATAGATCTTCCTTTGCCTTGGTAGTCTTTTGACTGGGTTATCATGCTGTACTTTTGTAGGGTTGGCTTTGAAGGCAGTTTAGAAACTTAGAATAGAATCCTAGCTATCCAAGATGAGGCCTGGTTGGCTTAGGCCACCTGAGGCTGTGCTGAATCCTATCGACTACCAATTTCGGGATGCTGGAAATTACTCCCAACCTAGGGACACTGGAAATTGTTTAGGCTTACCCTGAATGTGATCTAAATTTGTGTTGATAAAGTGGCTGTGATTCTTGGCTGAGAGGAGCTTGGATTTGGTGCAACTAAGGTCCTGTTTCTCCTCTTCTTTACCATTTTTTTTGCCTTCTCTGTTGGCTCATTTCAGCCAGCAAAGCAATTGTACTGGCAGAACCAGTTGCACCAGTAGATCTGAAACCAACTAGCACACAAGGATGTATTTGCAAAGGCTTTCACGGCAGGGAATCTAATGGTTGTTCGTACTCCAGTCCTCTGAAGATGCCGGCCACAGAGATTGGCGAAATGTCAGGAAGAACAAGCTTCAGAACATGGCCAAAGAGCCCGAAAAACCCACAACAACCATTAGCACACAAGGAGTTGTGCAGTCACAAAAGGCTTATACCCATTCCATACTACAACAGCCAGCGTATGTTTGAGTTTGGATTGCACTGAACAAGTCCAAAGTGCCACAACAAAATTTCTGAAAGGTATTAGTTGTCATGTACCCATAACTCCCAGCTTACAAAATATTGTACTTCTGGTTATTTATTTAATTCTAGATCAGATTTTAAAAGCTGTTTTGCATCTTTAAAGGCCTAGACATCATGGATTGAGGGTTCCCAAGGAACGTGCACTTCCATATTAATCTCCTTTGAGATATAGTTACAGAAGAACCATGGTATCTGCGGGATCAGTATCTGCAGTTTCAGTTATCTGCTGCTTGAAAATATTCATTAAAAAAATCCGGAGGGAACCAGAGATTTTTTTTTATATGTAAGGTTTACTCTATATAATTCGGCACCAGGAAGGGGAGTGGCTTGGAACTGATCACCTGCGAATACCAAGTTATCTGCTGCTTGAGAATATTCATTAAAAAAACCTGGAGGGAACAAGAGATTTTTATATATATATAAGGTTTACTCTATACAGTTCGGCAACAGGAAGGGGAGGGGCTTGGAACTGATCACCTGCGAATACCAAAGTCCAACTGTATGTGGTTCTGTTACAGATGCTGTCTCCATTGGTGTCCAGCTGTAATAGCTAGCTTTTTTAAACGGTTCTGCTGCAGCAGTTGACATCTGTTACCAGTATATTAAAGAATGCTGCTGAAAGTTTTTTCTATAGCAAGTACATACATTTGGGATTTCTCTGTTGTTTGCTGGTAGAAAAAGAAAGCCTGCTGAATAGAGATGGGGATGAATTAAAAAATGATGATTCATTTTGATCTGTTATTTGTCAAGGTTAATGAATCATCGAATATGAATATACAAATATTCTTCGGTGAATCGGTCCATTGATTTGTCTGCACTTTAAACAGCTATAGCACTGGCCTCCAATGACCTAGAGACATCAAATTTGCAGGGAAGCTTCATCCTGTGCTTTCCTACAACTGCTGAAGGTTTGGTGAACATTGGATCATGGACCCCCAAGTTATATAGTCACAAAGAGGACCCCCCAGGAACGCTCCCCCCAGGTACCTACAGACTTCAGAATCACAACAGAGCTTTCTATGCGTTTCCCCAACATGCCTGCCAACTTTGGTGAAGGTTCAATATCGGAACTCCGAGTTATTCACCCATAAATTTGGTCCCCCCAGGGAGAGTTTACCACATGGCACAGAAGCTCATGGCATTGAGGGAGTTATATTTAGCCCCAGAAGAATGAGAGGTCCCTTTGGCAGAGGCATGCATGAGGCATCGAGTTTGTCTTCAGCTTAGCACAGCATTACATTTGCCACTGAAGTAGAGTTTGCCCTCAGGAGGACTGGAGGCCAGGAGGTATTTGGCAGCACAGCAGACTTTTTGGCTTCGGGCATTGAGGAAGTTGGCAGCAGGAAAACAGGCTCTTTTGGCTGCATCAGGCACTGAGGTAGTTGGCAGTAGCAAAGTACCGTATCTTGCCCCATCGGGGAACTGAGGCAAAAGGCAGCAGAACAGACTCTGGTCTTCTTCAGCAACATCAGATTTGCCTGCAAAGGAAAGGTTTTTGCCCCCAGGAGGCAATTGATGTTGCTTGCAACTTCCAGCAGAACCATCAGATGAACAGAGTCAGTGCTACTAACAGCGGTTAATCCATGGATCTGCGGGGCTATTGGAAACAGATCAGATTTGCAATCTGTAGCCGGGTGATGGAGATACAAAGATGCTGGTTTAGAACTGGAAAGCTTGGGATTTCTAGCAACTTGGCTGCTGAGAACGCCCAGATATGATAAAGATATCTGCGGCATTCGCCCTCGTGCCCCCTGTTTGCCTCACTAAACACAGAGCTCACAATGGCAAACCAAAACACCTCTTGACATGCTGCCTTATCAACTTACTTAGAAAAGATGGTCCATTCAGTTCTGACTTTTTAATAGAACAGGTTTATTGATTATAGTTGGTTTCTGGAACAGTTCATAAGCACATTCTTCAAGTTTCATCAAGCTTCAGTATTAACCTTCTATAGTAATTATCACAGTTTACACTCAGACTAATCACTCCTAAGACCCCCTCCTTCTCTCTCTGATTCCTAACACAGACAGAACTCAACTGAGACTCAATTGACTCCTCCTTTCTCAGGCTTCACCTTTTAACATCTCTTGTAGCCCCACCTAGACTAATCAAAGACCCCTACTTCTCTCTCTGATTCCTAACACAGACAGAACTCAACTGAGACTCAATTGACTCCTCCTTTCTCAGGCTTCACCTTTTAACATCTCTTGTAGCCCCACCTCACCTCCAAACCAGACAAGCTTTGCCATCTGAAGCCAGGCAATGGGGAGATGGGATGACACCTGGACAGGCTTTGGGTGGGGCTGAGACAGGCCCTCTTTGTCACAGGGGATGCCTGGACATGGACAGGCTTTGGGTGGGGCAGAGCCTGGCCTAGGAGACTCACCTTGTCCACCCACATCTAAGTAGACTTGCTGACAACCTTCAAAGAAAGAAAGATGCT